TTAAAGTTAAAACATAATTAATGATATATGTTAAAACATATTTAATGATATATGCACATATAAAAGATATATATAAAAATAGATGTACTACCTATGTTACTACTTATGTTACTACCTATGTTATAGTGTTAAATTTCATTTGATGCGAAAGACAAATTTATTTTCTCGATTTTCTGAAAATCGTATACTTTCGCTAGCGGTTATGTGCCTTTCCAATCTTTTAGATATAGACTCTCTTTTCTCGACAGAGTCGAGAATACATCAACAGGAGATAAAATGAATTGCGGGTTCGTTAGACCCATTTGTCATCCTTAGCCTCTTGATGAGAATGTAAAAAGTGATATGACATGTATCGCGGAGATTTTCACATCGCGTGTCTTAATGCAATATTATGCACGCACTATTAGCTTCTTGCAAAGGATGTGGATACTAGTATGAACAATTTCAAAAGGCATCCGCTGAGTAAAACAATTTCTGCGTATTGGAAAAACACTTAATTTTCTCACTCTTTTGGAGTGAGATTTCACTTTTTTGGAATGAGATTCACTTTAAAGAATTTAGAAAGCAGTTAATTTTGTGTTTGTAGTTCTATAATTGTAGTTCTATAATTCTATTAATTATTGTCATACATATATACAATACAGCAATTTATTCATTGATATTAATTTATAAGGTGTGATGACATCATCTTTGATATTGCAGAAGATTATAAAGATCTATCATTCGTAATCAAATTCTGTACAAATAAATTTTTAACTTATCTTTTTATAGAATTTTTATAGTATGAATTTTCATCATATTTGTACACATTATTTAAATTCTTTTGTGATCCTTATTATTAATATTTTTTGTAATTTTTACAACTATGTAATATCTGCTTTATATTTCCAAAAGAAACAGTCAAAGCTATTTTAAGATACGTCGATTGTAAACAATTCTATTGAAAAATAATTCCGACGAGTATAAACTGTGTAAATTTATTTAATCGGGAATCAATGATCTCTATCGGGAACTCCTGAATAGTCTTTGTTTATCAAGCAAGACAGATGGATTCTAGATTCTGTCTCTTTTCCTTGTGCAAGATTTCTCTGAACGTATTATAGTATTTATACGGTATTCACTCGCGTTTTGCATGGATGAACTGGCAAATCGGAGCAAATATATATACGTACATACGACAATCGCAACGAAGGTCGATGCACCGATGATGTCAGCTGACATGTGTATGAATAACGTGACATCTCGGTATGCGTGGCGTTTATCACGAATGCACTATGTTGCTCTATGATCCGTATAAACGTTGTATCCGAGTGTTTAGAATCCGTAAATATCTGTGTATTCGATGTATTTTGAAATAATTTAAAATTTAGTATCTAAATCTCGAATACTTCCTTTGAGATTTATTCATGTATGAGAAATTTAATTTTTTTACAAAGTTTTAATAAAACTTATCGAAATCTTGTAGATTAATAATTAATTTATGCATAATATATGTATGATAATAAATAATGACTACATATTAAATAATTGATAGTATCCATTTAATATTTACTTACATGAATATTCATAACACGGCTTTCGAAGAGTTTTAGTGACATATTCTTTCACGCCGTGCTAAAAAATCTGATAGTTTGGCCATTTCGAAAAGAGTTATTGTGGGGAATAGAGAGAATTTCTCCCTCGTTCAACATCATTGATATGCATGACGTAAGAGTTCGATGCACTATGAATATTGATGTTATTCCTCGCATAGTTCGTCGCGCATTAGTAAGTCTTCTGCATTTGCTCGCAAATTATATGCAAAATGTTCGCGTGAAGAGGACTAATATCACAATGACTATTATCACATCCGATATATATATACTCGGTTGTAAATAAAAACATTAATAACATTGAAATACATCGCGAAGTCATTTTACTATCTTACAATCTTAGATACAACACGACCTAGTTTCACCTACCCTACAGGTACGTAACCGCAATTTCAATCATACGAGACGAATTGGTTGACGCAGATGATTAATGCGTCGCATGCGCTCCCCTTGACTGTGAAAAAATTGAGAAACGATTCGTGTAACGAGATCTCGAAGGAACGGTCTACTAGTGTATAGGATGGTGCGCGATGAGTCATTGTTTGCAATAGGATAGTTAAAGTCATACTATTAAGTAAGGAAAAAGAATCTACATATTAATGATAGATTATAAAAGTATTTACATCTTAATAATCATTTATGAAAAAATATATATTCGCAATAGATCGTCTTTTAAAAATATCTATTATTTTTAATTATTATAGTGAAAGTATATATATCAGATATAGTTGATTACTGTTTAAATACATATTATAATTAATTGTTCTAATTTTCATTGTTTATTCTAAATCACAGTTGTTTTTAATTGTACTTGTTATAAACGAATACATACACATACATATATGAATTCTATTGTAAACGGGACATAAAATATTTGAAACGTTTCGAGGTTCTGTCTAAAATCAATTATGTGCAATCTTCAAATAACAATTAATTGAATATCTAGGTTAATTTTTGTTGTATATAAGATACAATGTATTTATCATATAAAGAAACAGCAATAATAACTATATGTCAATGCAGTATGTCAATGGTGACAGATGTTCATTGTAAGAAAATAAGAGCATTGTACACGGAGAGAATTTTTTCTTAGAATTTACCCTGAAAATATGGTAGTGCTGGAACAACATTGTATTTCGAAGAATTTTATGTAAATTTTTCTCATTCATTAATAAAACTATAATAAAATATAAAATAAATTTGATTATTTTTACTAAAGTGCAATGTAAAAATCTTTAAAATATTGTATTGCACCACAATTATCATATTTTCAGGATAAATTAAAAAAAAATTCTCTCCGTGGATAGTAAACTTTTTGAGAAATATTATATTTTTATGACACTATTTCTTGTGTAGAATTTTTTATATTTTTATATTTGTCTGTATCTTTAAAAAAAGTTCGATTGAGATATTGATCTGCATTAGTCATTGCTTGATAACTGTGGTATGAATAATCAATTTTAGACAGAAGTAGAAACACTTATCGATTGACTATCATATCTGGTAAATGTCTTTTCATTCGAATATAAAAGTAGGATGTTAAAAATTCCAATGAACTTTGTTATTGATCGCTAGAAATCTGACGAATGGATAAGTCATTGTTGTAATAATGGAAATAAAGAAACGTGTCACCGTTTGCGAATCTCACGATTAGAATGCATTTGCTGCCTTTTGATCTGTTTGTGCGACTATCACCCTTAGGTGCTATGCAATTGGCTCTCGCGTTATGGACGATTGCTGTAATACTACGTGCGTCGTGTAACACGCAATACATTTCTGTAAATACATTCGATGGCATAATGTAATAACTCCGAGGTGAGATTGCTCGTTGATTAAAGACTACTTTGCGCCATTAAGTTCAGTTTATATATCATTTTTTTAGATTAATATCTTTTAACAAATGCGATAAAACATTCGGAATAGAAGATCGAGACAGACACGATATTGATTGACGTTGATACCATCGCCTCCTAAATTATACAATTTAAGAGACATTTATTGCCTTTGTCTAGCAAATATCATCTTTCACATTTCGAACGACATGCACAGACAATCTCAGACTCAATAATTAGAATTTATTTAATGAGATGTAAACGTTTTTGTATGTCTTTCATAAAATTTATGTAGTACAGTTTCGTATAGATTTTTGGGTTTAACTTAACACGTGTACTTGTTTCAAACGTATGCACTCAAATTTTTGTGTTAATTTAACACAAGAAAAATATATTAGAAAGTAATTTAAAAATTAAATAAAAAAATTGACACAAAAAATGTAACTTTTTGACATAATTTAGAAATAAATTATGAAAGCATATTTCTTCAGTAAAATTTTTGTTAAAGAAAAATCTTGTAAGTTGGCTAAATAATTATTAAATGAAAGAAATAGGTACATACAACTCTTCTTTAATAGCACTGTAAATAAGTATATTTGTAAGTCAATACATATACACATATATCTGAAGTGTTCAGGCTAATGATTTCATGAGGGTGAAACGCATGACGGCAAATCACCAAGGTCTTCTCGCGTTTTCTGTAATTACTTCATTCTAAAAACTCAAGGAAAAAATTGAAAACTGTCGACTGACTGTGATCATTAATAATACGGTGGCACGTTAATTAAAAAAATTAACGTGTTTTGTCATTGAAACATTGTTATTAATTGAAAACACCGTGCTCGAAACAAGATTTTTTAATAAGATTATGATTTATAGAATTTTAAAAAAGATTACAGTAAATCACATGATTTTTTTAAATGAAAGGAAATTATATCACTCTCTTACTTAAAAAATGACATTTATAAAAACGTAATTTTCTAGTTATTACCATGAATGAGTTAATAAGTGAATATTATCCTATGAATCATTAAAAGTAAACTGACTTCATAAAAAAATCATCATAATCTAAAAAGGATGTTTAAAAAAAAAATCATCAAAATCGTCACAACTAAAAATAGTTTTTTTAAGATCTGTGAAATGAAAATGATAAAATCAAAATGACATTTTATCATAGTAAGAATATGTTCTTTTTTACGATTTATATATTATTTAATTGAGTCAATAATTTTCTGTCAAGTTAAAGGTTAGAATTTTCCCTTTTCTCCGTGAAACTCAATTCTTTTACTCACTTTTGAAGTAAAGGAACTATATGTACATAAATTGCACATTTCGATATACGCAATGAAAATGATGAAAATGTGTTATATGATGCTGGTTTGGTACAGTGAAACTTCTCTCTTCGTTTCTATGTGTGCGACGCCTTCTCTCGATCGACCGAGAAGCCGCTACGAGTGTACGCGAGGTCGGATGGTGGGGCGTCGGCCGGTAGGGCATTCGGAGTAGAGGGGGAAGGAGTAGAAGAGGCTGCGCGCGCGGTGCGCTTGCTCCGGGCCTTCAGTTGCCTCCAGTTGTCTCGCGACTTTGCATCGATGAAAGTCGTCCGCGTGTCGGTACGGCGTGATACGCCTCTCGCTTTCGCTCGCGCGGATGCGTGACCCGGCGCGAAGTGGAACAGTGCTTGCGCGCCTCCCGGAGTCGTCGTTTCGCCTTTGTCGCCACGACGCGCGCCGGTCCGACCGACGGGGACGATGTCTCGGGGATACGCGACATTCTGAAGCGCCGTCAAGGCGACCAGCAACCGCGTTTTAATGTTCTGTTCTGTTTATGAGACGAGTGCCGCGGTGAAAAATTGATGGAATCGAGCGATTAGCCATCGAGTGCGCGGAGTGTCCTGTGAACTGACTTCGATGGTCTTCGAAAATATTGAGATGAGGAACCCTGCGGGGTTCCTGCTCGAGGACGCCAGGCACGGATACATCCAATACATTAGGTATGTTTCTTTCGTTCGCAATGTGTCACACCGTCATGCCGCATATTTACTAAGAATCGAGCCGGCATGAATTGATATTAATCCAGTTAACGAAACGTTCGTTTAAAGCGGCCTCGATAAAAAGTTCTGATAGAAAGATTGAGGATCGGTTGAACACTAGTTATAAGACGTTCACGAGATCGAGATTTGTTTATGTCACGACTATGACTGATTTAGAAAGAGACGTTGAGAGGCACTCATCCAAGATTAGATGAACTTTAGAGACTTTATAACAGAGTCTAGCCATGACAAACATCTTTTTGGCCCGTCGTTTTTATCAATTTCAGTAAAATATTAGTTAGAATAAGATAACATGTACAAAAACAGACAACTACATTGCATTCTTTTTCATCTTTTGACAAAATTACTCGTGACCAGATTCTATTATTGGAGAATCTCTAAGTGAACTAAATAGTCAATGTAGTTTGAATGATAAGAATATCACGCTGGCTATCGTTGTGGTATGAATCATTGTAAAGTCTATTCTATAATTGTGTAAGCGTAAACGAAAAAAATTTTTAATAAATATTTGTTTTATTAGTATACTAACCAAACATTTACTTACAATAAATAACATTTACTTATAATAAATAAATATTTACTCTATTAAAAAGAAAAATCAAATTAATAGTTTTTATAGCAAATAAATATATGTCTACATTTAGTAAATATTTAGTTAGTATTATAACTATTATAAACAAATATTTATTAAAATTTAATACATTTTTTTTTCAATTTAAATAACTAATTATAACTTCGTAAGTGGTTGTGGTTGTAAGAATTGAACAATTACAATCGAATTTTTCTTACATTTCTCTGTGACTGATTAATTCTTTGTTCTTACAACATACGACTGTTTACAACTGTACTTGTACAGTTGTAGAATGAGCTTACCGTTCATGGCGCAGTTTATTGTTAAATGCGTATTTTGAGTCTTTACGAATATACCAAATACGCTATGCAATTTGATTCTGCAAAAACGTTAAATATTTAACAATGCACATCATGATTTACGTTACAATGTCCGTTTCTTCGATGCTTCCGATCTTAACCACGTCACTGTTTATTTATGTACAATTATAAATATTGTCATTGATATAAGCAGTTGTGTAAATAGAAGTCTGCAATAAAAGCGTTCAGAACTTTCATACTTGACGCTCGATTATTATCAATTAATCGTTTCTATAATTAATTTTTAAATATCTCTTGTTTTAGAAAATACTTTGCAATTTCCTGATCGTGATGTTTATGTGAAACGTTTTTGAAAACGTTTTGTTTAACGCAAATATTTTCTTTGACGTGAACTTTTTTCTTTAGAATTTTTAAAATAGAAAGTTATTAGAAATATTAATTTGACAAGTTTAATTATTGCTTATAATTTTATCAGAAGAAATCTTAAGACAAGTCATTTTTTTAGATTTATCAAAGAAGTTATACATTATTTTAATTTTAGGAGAAAATATTAGTTTGATTTTACATAAAGAGATGAATGAATATTACGTAACAAATTCAGATCAGTCTGTTTAATGTAGTGATAAGAATACGGACTTCCTGTATACTATGTTATATATGTATACGTAACGCCGGATTGCGTTGTAAAACGGAGTCGTAAATCAAGTGTCATTTTCAAAGTACAGTAAAACGGGTATCGAATGAACATTGTTCGCACGATAGGAGACCGCGTGAACGATCTAATCCGGAGAAACGATCGATAATACGCCTTAATCCTACCAGCGTAGCAAAGTCATTGCTCATTTTGCAGCATAAGCTTAAAAGATTATTGCGGATTATAACGGAAAATTTTTTCGGTTGCAAATCCGTATCGCACACCAAAAGTAATCACATATGTTGGAGCAATAGATTTGGATAAATTATTTCGCAAGAACGTCACTTTCAAATAAAATATTGATTTCTGAATTGATTTAGTCTTTAAAATGTAATTAAAATATGAGACGAGAAAAATTATACTTAATTACTTAGAAATATTTGATTACCTTATCTATTTAGCATCAGCTTGAGAAGTAATATGTAAACAATTTATATAATCTTGTAAATAATACATTAAGATATTCATTGCACGTAAATTGACATCTTACAACATAACATTATTTTAATCTTTTATATAGATATTGTTAAAAAATTTTTCCAATTAAGCTTATTTCCTGGATGGAATATTATTCGATTGCATCGCTTTTTACTATTACTTCATTTTAGTACGTACGAATGAGAAATCTTGCCATGAATGATGCCAGACTCCGGCATAACTGTAGACCAAAAGGATCATTTACAATTTCTTTTTAACTATATTTTTCGCTATGAACTTTCTGGTTGACCGACAATTACTTGGTTAACCGTTAGAAAATAACGGTTTACAGAAAACAACGAATTTTGCCTTTTTTTTTTTATTGATACACAGTAGTAATATCTTCTGGAATCTCGACAACGTTGCATTATGTAACTGTTTGTTGCACGATGTCACATACAGGATGCATTCGATCAATTGCACTTGTTTATGACAATAGATATTATTGGAACAATTAAATTAGATTTACGAAAGATATGAATTCAATTTGAAGTTTAACAAATATAATCCGGTAATATCCGTTGATGATAATTTTTCTATATTTTTTAATATATCGATTTTAAGAATGATGATATAATATGTGTTTCAAAGAATAAAAGCAACAAAGCAACGATCTATTTCTGAACATATCGATGTTTGTTATTGATTGAATTAGGCTCTTTGTTTATTTGTATTATTTATTTATTAGTCAATTCTCAAATAATTAAATTATTATAAATCTTTATAGTTGTGAAATATTATCTAGCAATTAGCATTAAAATGTTAGGTAATAATATTTACAGAATAATTGAGAATATATACTATTTCTATATAATATGAGTATTTTTTAATTAAATCTTCTCAAATAATGGCTTTTACAAGCAATAACTCGCAGCTTTTCTCATGGTTATTGATTTATTTTCGATTAACTCGCGTTTCTTTCGAAATACCTTTTTGCAAAAAGTGATTCTGCAATAAGGGTTAATTGAGAGATCAGAAATTACGCAGGAAAGATACTCCTCGTACCGTTAGCAATGGTCCAGTTTAAGATGGTTGGATACTTGGCAACGCAGCCTTCACCGGCATACAAACCGTCTTCTTTGTTGTTTCTTTTTTCGAACGGCAAGGGTCCCTAACTGATTCTCCGTCTACAACAGACTCCAGCTCATAATATGCCAACCTCGGTGAAGTATTCAATCTGAGAAATTGCAATTGATTGATCGGTACAGCTAGAGAGAAACATTTTATATAAATTAATTGAATAGTCTGTATAAATGTATGAGTTAAATCGCAACGAGAGATTTATTTAACTTAATAAATAAATACAACTCACGATAAAAAGAGCAGTAAATATATATAACATTTTAATATCTTTATTATAATCGTGAATAATTTTGAATAATATCAAATTTGAAAGATATTGTAATTAATATTGTAATTAATTAAATATTGTAATAATTCGAATTTTGCAAATGGTTAATATTAAATTTTATTGTACTTTATATTTTAAGATAATTGACATTTTGTAAAAAAATATATTCTTTATTTTATGAAATATATAAAAATTATTGATTTTTAATTTATAAAAAGTTTTCTCTCTTTTTCTAAAAATATCAATTAAAAATTTACAAAAAATTAAGAACAGATTTAGTCATAATGTTTTCATTTAATGTTAGAAAAGTTAATCGCATTGAGGCACAAAAAAGCAGGTTCTCTATAAGCAGGTTATTAACACGTAAAAATTAAAAGTTCTACGAAAACATATGTATCCGAATACCAACGTGCTGTTAGTGGGTACCATGTGTTTTCTGAAAGCAGTGCTTCTTTGTCAGCATCAGCTGACTCGGAGCATCAGCTGCGCGCTTTTATATGTACGAGTGTGAAAGGGAACCCTGATTTGTCAAGACGGGTCACCATGGAAAAGAAAAGTTGAATATCTATATCTTAGAAACATTCTTTATGTATTATACGTGGTGTGAATATTGCATGTTTGAAAGCAAAGAAATTTATTTTATAATAGTTTTGTTGAAAAGAAAAATAATCATGTAAAATATTTTAGATAAATTCAACCAGTTGATATTTCGTATTTATCATATAAATCTCGTTTATATTAAATAATAAAGTATTTCAGTAAGGCTATTTTAACAAAATATTTTCGGTTATACATACCATATGTTATTAAGCGACAGATTTAGAATTGGACATATAAATATTCAATTGCGTTTCTATAATGTATCGTTCTAAAAATCTTTAGTTTGTTAGAATTGAAAATAGAATTTCATTTATAATCTTATGTATTATGTAATATGAAAACATGTAAAAACTCAGAATACATATTAAGTATTTATACATGTATAAAATACATATATACATGTGTAATATCATTGTAATCATCAAAATATATGTACGGCATGTTACAATACAATTAGAAATAAAATTCTATTTTGAAATCTGATGCTGATTATAGCCTAAAGTGAACTTAATAGGTTAATCGATAGGCTAATATAGAACAACGGCAGCTCATGTGCTAGTTTCATATTGCTTCGTTAAACGGACGAGTCACGAGTATTGTTACATGATGTATCTCGAGATGAGTACAGACTATCGAGTTATTCTTATTCTAATCAGTAGCGGTGATTATAAATTTGCAATCGGACATGTGGTATCTCTATCAATAACCGTTAGAAAAAGGTAGCTTTAGCTCCCGTATTGCCACAGCTGTCCTCTATAACATTCTATCTCAGCACTGCTCTAACGGGTCTCTCGTCGCTACGATATAAATCGTAGCGACGATTATTGCCGAGTAATCATCAGATCGAACAGTCGGTCTGTTATCTTCTTCTCCGCGCGCGGACGATACTTCGTGCACGTCGCCGATCATAAATCAATACTTGCGTAG